AGATGAGTATAATCGGCTCCTTCATGAAAAAAAAAACTGATGTCTGTGCAGGTATTCTAGTTGATCTTCTTATTTTCATGGAGGAGCAAGATATGTTTTCTCTGGGTTAGGAAAAAATTTTGAACTGTGGCCATAAGAAATTTTATGATATGCATATTGTTTTACAGGTTATCACTTGCAAACATACCCTTGCAAAATTTATGTTGTATCTGGTACATGATCAGTAAGTAGTAATATTATTATTGTGAAAAAGAAAAAGAATAAGCAAGAGATTTTTTTCCGCCTCACTGTCGCCAATCTGGTGATGTTTATTGAAGAGGCATGAGCAAAATATTACATTGTTACTATTCGAATTTAATTACCATTAACACGTTCGCGCCGGCGCGGGTCACCGGTGACCCACACTAAACTGTCTCATCGGGCGGCGCGGGTCACAGGTGGCCCACACTAAACTGTCTCATCGGGCGGCGCGGGTCACCGGTGACCCACACTAAACTGTCATTAAAAACATTTATTTTTAATAATAATTATAATCAAAAATGTATCAGAACTATAAGTTTTGTTCAATAACAAACATAATAATACAGTATTATACAAAAAATTCAAATACGGTTAAAATAACATAAAATCTAATATTGTTTGAATGAACACTCGTTCTCTTCATTGATAAAATTAACAAAATCCTCGTCTGAAGAGGAAGAAACTATTCGTAATCTTGCCACTTTTCTTTTCTTGCTTCTAATTATAGATTCATCCGAATCACTTATTTCCATATCTATGTTATCCATTTTTTATAAGGGTAAAAATTAAAAAAACATTCTAATCACCTTTCTAATTATATTTACTGTCGGAAATTTGTGGTCAATTTGAGTAAGAAAATTTACGTAAACTTATTAGTTCCGTAAGTTTTGACTGATACTGTTAAGTTGATACTGATGAAAGTGAATTAATATTTTCCTGCCATAGGCTAAATGTGCCTTAAAATTTTTCATTGAATACAACACATTTAATTATAGTGTTTGATATTAACTGATTAGGTTGGAACATATTTGAGAAAAAATCCGATTAATAAAGGAGTTTAATTATTTGCGTACCCAATCTAATCAGGATTTCTTGGAATACTACTTACTCTTTTGGCAGAACAAAAAGGCAAGGTGAATCTAATAAGAAACCAAATCCTTATTCTTTAATATCCTACTTTAGAAGATTGATTACAAACAATTCATCATCTCGTCATTCAGCTTCCAATTGGAAAGGTGATGACAATTATGGTTCATTCGAATATAGAGGTCCTCTATGAAGAAATCAAAACAGTAAAATTCTGTGAATGTTCTAGTGACAATATTTTTTTTATTATTTCATAAAGTTGTCAAGTATTACATCATTTCATACATAGACTAGCACTGTAGATAATATTAAATTAAATAAAAATAAGAAACTCCTAAAAAGAATGTTCTTCAATAATTTAATTGCAGCTGCACTAAAAATAATAAATGCTATTTTCCAAATCTCTAATAATATTCTTTACTAAAAACTGGTGTGAAACTGAAAAACAATGTCTTACGGGAAAATATGCCGATTCAAATGACAAGATACAATAAAAAAGCCATAGATAACAATAATAAAACTAAACAGTGCGAAAGTCTAATCTTCATAATATTCTTTACTAAAAATTAGTGTAAAAGTGATAAACAATGTCTTACAGGAAAATAAGCTAATTCAGATACCAAGACACAATAAAAAAGCAATGGATAAGAATAATAAAACTATACGCGCCAGCCTAATCTTCATAATATTCTTTATTAAAAACTGGTGTAAAAGTGATGAACAATTTCTTACGGGAAAATAAGCCAATTCCAATGACAAGATAAAATAAAAAGCAATGGATAACAAATAAAACTATACAGCGCCAATCTGATTTTTAGGACGACAAAAAGTGGTTAGATGATATAATTATTGATTCTTACTTAGCATCGCTTGAATGTACTAAAGAATAATTTAAATTCTCAGCGGCATGAATATAGTATTGGCCTAGTAGATAAAAATAGTAACATCCATTCTCATTGGATTTTAGTCTTAAAGATACTAGTATAAAAACAATTCAGCGTAATCAATTCTATTCCCAATGAAATGACAGTCTATTATTTTTAAAAACTTTTGCGATAATTAACTGTTGGAGAACAAATGAAATGGAGCAAGTATACAATAATTTTCCCTAAACAAACTGATAATCATAGTTGTGGAGTTTTCATATTATAAAATGCTAAATTAAGTAATACTAATTTTAAATATCGAATCGATCCTATAGAAATCAGAAGAAGTTTAATGTCATATTTCTTAAAAAATATTTTAGCTGTCGATAAAATCTGTCCAATTTATAGTAGTTCAGATAGCTCTCCAACAGACTTCTTGGCAACAATGTGGAATGTGTTTAACATGGATTCACTTTGAGTGCGATCCCAGTCTTAATGTTAGGATCTTTATTATTCAATTCAAAAAAAAAACATCCAAACTTAAATAAAAATCGAAAATGTTACGATTCTTTCTAGATACTAACAATACAAGTTAGGTTTTTTATTATAATTTATAGTTAGGAATTATTTTTTATTACGTATATACAAAACAAATCTATATTAATGGCGCAAACATACAAAATAATTGATAGAAATATTGATTTACTATATTCTATATTTTTGATAGAACAGAAAAATAGTATATTCTATATTTTTCATAATCTATCAATTATTTTGTAAGTTTGCGCCATGAATATAGATTTTTTTGTTGAGAATGCCAGATAACTTTTACCACTCGCGGCTCTTTGTATGGGGACATAGATAGAAACGCAGTAGGAAAGTAAAACCAGAACAGACCAATATCTACCCATTGTTCACCCTTAAAACCTGGATTCTATCCACTACCGCCACGCCTTTACTTGGTTCCTATGCATTCCAACCCACTAAGGATAAATGCACCACTTTGGAATCCAAATTTCTGGCATAATAATTATATGGGACCCAGGAGGTTTCACCCAGAAAATAGAGGAAGATATGGCAAATTTTAATTTTTTGGAATTTAATTTTTCGATTTCAATCAGTTTTTTCCCGTATTGCTGCGCAATCAATACTGCCTGTCAACACCAATGATTATTAAATCTTAGAAACAACAGCACGCGAGGCGATGGGTCCTCGATTTGTTTACATTTTCGTATTTCTTAGGAGAGCATAATATAAACAATCTTTCCTTCAATTTAATCAACACTTTCATATAATATCGTATAGACAAAATTTCTTTTTAGTGCGTTGTGTAAAGTGGTCGAGTTAGTACCTTGAAGTTTTAGTGAAAAAAGTGTTTTAAATTTTGATTTGGATCATATTTTGAAGTTCATAAGGTAAGTCAATTACAACTTCTATAATTACTTTAAACATAATGATTTTATCGACATCAATATGCATAAATACTTATTTTATTTCCCAACTTGCAAAAGCATCCCAACATATGTAAATAATCGGCTTAATAAATAGGAAATCAGATTTAGCAAACTGAGACGTTAATATTTCGAAATTTTGAATCGGCCGAAAAATTTTAAGCAGTTTTTATAATTAACTTTTTTAGGTCTATAACATTTTAATATGTTTGTTAAAAACTATATCATTATACATTAGAAACAACAGCACGCGAGGCGATGGGTCCTCGATTTGTTTACATTTTCGTATTTCTTAGGAGAGCATAATAAAACAATCTTTCCTTCAATTTAATCAACACTTCATATTATATCGTATAGACAAAATTTCTTTTTAGTGCGTTGTGTAAAGTGGTCGAGTTAGTACCTTGAAGTTTTAGTGAAAAAAGTGTTTTAAATTTGATTTGGATCATATTTTGAAGTTCATAAGGTAAGTCAATTACAACTTCTATATTACTTTAAACATAATGATTTTATCGACATCAATATGCATAAATACTTATTTTATTTCCCAACTTGCAAAAGCATCCCAACATATGTAAATAATCGGCTTAATAAAAAGGAAATCAGATTTAGCAAACTGAGACGTTAATATTTCGAAATTTTGAATCGGCCGAAAAATTTTAAGCAGTTTTTATAATTAACTTTTTTAGGTCTATAACATTTTAATATGTTTGTTAAAACTATATCATTATACAAGTTTTATCAAAATTTTCAACATATTTATTCACTACTTAATTGCGATCAAAAGACAAAGAGTTTTCATAATGAATTAACAAACGATTCATAAATTTTGGAAATCGTGGAGCCGTTGCTTAGAAAACGTTAGCTAAAATTCTAATTTTTGTATCTAAATTGGAAGAAGTATGAATGTTTGTGTGAGCATGTGAGCAAAACTTTACCTTTTGTCGGTGTTTTCACAATTTGATGAAATTTTATAAAAACTTGCGTTGATTAATTTTGCAAGATAATTGGCAGACCCTTTCTTAAGTTAGCAGAAAAAATTCAAAAATTTTTGTGCACGTTTCATATAAAAATCCTGAAGATATCAGCCGGGGCATTTTTTTGTAATCAATTGTGAATTTTTTTTTGGAGAAACTTTTATATACGGGCCTATGACAAGTGATTTATCTATAAAAATACATTGAATTTTAAAATAATATTCCGAGCTTTCAGATCATGTCCACTTGCGTGTTCATTGCAAACAAACTATTTAATGCAATTACAAATTAATTAATCTAATTATTCAATTGGAAATTACATTGATTTATTTTTAGGGTAAGAATAACCAATTAAAAATTTTATTTATTTGTTTAAATCTGAAATCTTATTATTAAGTAGATTATTTATACGAATTCGGTTCATGAAACATTTTTCTAGATAAAATAAAATCTACTAGTTCCAATTTTGTTGTCAAACGATTAAGAAGAACATGGAATGTCGATAAACCATACAATGCGTGAATCCAATTTATTGGTGAAAATAAACTTTTCTTTTGAGATAATGCTTTAATTTCAGTATTTTTCTAATTAAAGTCATCATGTCTGGAGGATCATCTAGAGACAGAGATATAGGTAGGAAATGGAAATCCCGCGCATTAAAAAGAAATGCTGTACCTTATGTCCAACCAAGCTCTGAATTTCAGTATGATGAAATTTCTCATGAAATCTTCTACTGGTGTCACTGTTTCACAGTTTACTCCATTTTTCAAGATAAAGTTTATTGCTTTCCATGCAGACTTTTCTCACATTTACGGACACAAGTAGTTATGGAAGGATGTTGTGATTGGAAAGATTTGAGCCGAATATTACAAAGACATGAACAACGCCAAGGACACAAGGAATGCATGATTAAATGGATGGAATTATATAAAGCAATAAAATACGGAAAAACAATAGATAAGGATAATGAAAAATCGATTAAAGGTTCACAAAAGTACTGGTTTAACTTATTTGAAAGAATGATTGATGTAATAAACTACTTAGCTGTACACAACTTATCATTTAGAGGCCATCGAGAATCTCTTAAATTTAGCAATAGACGGAATAGTGACAATTTTATAGATTTATTCAAGTTGTTATCGAAATCTGATTCGACCCTACGAGTCGAACACATGCATCGCATTAATGAAAAAAACACTTACTCAACATTATCTGAGCCATGACATTCAAAATGAACTGATTGCGTTAATGTCTAAGTCAGTAGTTGATGAAATCATAGGAAGAGTTAAAAAAGCAAAGTACTACGCCTTCTTGCTAGATTGTACTAAGGATGCCAGCCGCGTTGAACAAATGCCCATAATGTTAAGATTTTGTAACTCAACAGGAGAAATAGAGGAACATTTTGTTGCTTTTATTGTCGTCGCAGAAACAACGGGAGAGTACATAACAAAATCAATACTAGAAGAATCAGACAGAAATGGATTAGACATTCAAAACTGTCGAGGACATGGGTATGATAATGGCGCTAATATGGGCGGTATTGATAAAGGTGTCAGAACAAGAATACTCGATATAAATCCCAGAGCATTCTTTACGCCGTGCGGATGCCACATCTGGAACTTACTTTTAGTTGATGCCGCTAAATCTTCTGGAACAGCATAAAAGTTTTTTAGTTTTGTTAATTAAATATTTGTACTGTTTGCAAAATTAAGTTGGCGTTGGGACATCGTAAGAATTAAATTAAAATTGACATTAAAACCTCTTTCTGACACGCGATGGGAAAGCAGGATCGGAACTGTTAAAGCAATATTTCTGCAATTTGATGATGTTATAGAATGTGTGAATGAGCTGCAAACTATAAGTGATGATTCGGAAACTCTAAGCGACTGTGACGCAGTCTTGAAGAAAATAATAGGATTTGAATTTATTGTTGCGATACACGTATGGTACGAGATTTTACTACGTATCAACAATATAAGCAAACTATGGCAATCAGTTCAAGTCAACTTGAAAGTGGCTATTGATACTTTACGGTCATTTTGCAGCTAAATTCACGAATTTCGCAACACACGTTTTGACAGTAGAGTTACTCAAGCTCGATTATTTGTAGAAAAAAGTAGGTTCAAAATAGATTCAAACTTTAAAGAAAGAAGATTATTCAGAAAAAAACAAATAAATGAACCCATTCAATCTTTGGAAAAGCAGTACAGAGTTAATTTCTTTAATACAATGATCGATGTCATTATAGTCGACATCGAATGTCGATTTAAAGCACTTAATAACTATTACGAACAATTTGGTTTTATTTATTACATCGATTATTTAAATACTATTTCAAAAGAAGACCTTCTCAAACATTGTAATAACTTGGGCATAATTCTTCGACAAAACGAACATAGTGACATACAACCATTTGAATTATACGAAGAACTGCAACTATTTAAAATGAATATACCAGAGTCTGTAAAAAACGCGAAACAGTTATTTCAATACATAATAAAAAATAATTTAGAAGAAATATATCTATAGTATGATATCCAAATGTGTATATAGCAATCAGAATTATGAACACAGTTCCAATTAGCACATCTTCCACAGAGAGAAGTTTCTCTACGTTAAAATTGATTAACCCTCCGTCGGTCGGATATTTTTTCACCTTCGAACGGTCGGAAAGGTTTGGCTGGACCACCATTCATTTTACATGCATTTATATGGGATAAATGAGTTTTTGGTGTCTTATGTATTAACGATTATTAAAAAAAATCAAGAAATATAAAAAAATCGTTGCTTTTTTTGTTAATTTTTCTCTTTTAAATCAATGAAAAGGAATATTTATTCTTTTTCGGCGCCTTTGAAATGAATGTGTGCATTACTCATCCGATTTTCAGTGTTTGCGATTACCAATAAGTTTGGTAGGTTTTCAAGGAAGTCTCGTCATAAAAATACTAACATGTTAGAACACATAGCAAAGAATATAAACAACGCAGTTTGAATAGAAAATACCATGAAAAAAGACAATACACTGGTTTACATATATCAAAAAGCGTATATTTCATACAAAATGTATGGGTGGTCTGGACAGACCTTTCCGACCGTTCGAAGTATAAAAAAGTTAATATCCTTATAATTATCCTTCTGTACATTTTTTCGTCCTGATTTTTTCATTGATCGACAGCTAATGAAATTTTAGGAAAAGTCAAGAAATTTCAAGTCGATAGGATTACTAGAAGTATTTTTTATATTTAATTGAAGTCGAAAAAAGTCTGGCCAGACCACGCCGACCGACGTAGGGTTAAAACGTATTTGAGATGCACTATGAGCCAAGAAAGACTATCTGTATTATCCGTTTTGTCAATTGAAGCTGAAATGCAGGTAGCTATGAGGAAATACTTAAAAGGTTCAGCGAGGCAAAAAGCCGAGAAGTTAGATTATTTTAGATTATGTAAAATTTGTTTATTTTATACATGTCAAGGTATGATTGGTGTACGGTTTGTTGTTAAAGACACTGCAGGATACAAAATGAGCGATGGAGATACAATTCTGTATTATAACTATAATAGATCATATACTTCTCGAGAACGCACAGGCAGATTGTCAAAGATTTTCAATAGTAGAAAGATTGGGAAAGCATGTCCCTCTCGAATTGTATCATAGTCTAAGAGCCAGTGAACTATTTGACTAACCTGTTTTCACAAAGCCAGAAATTTTTTTAATGATATTTTATTATCGGCCCATTAAGAAAATACCATTCTGGCAGTCATTCCGCGGTTGCGTCATCATCCCTTCAATTTGTGAAAATGTAAAAAAAAATTTTTTTATAACTTGCTCGCACAAGGCTCAAATTTTGAGGGTGTCTTCTTTTAACTGTTCAGAAAGCATATGTAAAAAGCCAGCCCATTCTGACGGTTGCAAGGGTCTGCCAGACGAGTACATAATAGTCACGACGCGCAAGGGTGTGGGCGCATTGCCATACATAATTGACTAATACCCTTGTATTTGAATAATTTATACGCCATTTTAAAGGTCATTTTGAAAACATCCGTTATACCAAACTTCAACTTTGTATCTCACCTTATGACCGAGATATCATTGAAAATATGCCAAAGTGGCCCCTTTTTCAAACTCAATTTTTGGCGTAACCATAAAAGATATCGAAAAAAAATTACGTGATTCTACTCATATTGGCTTAAACCACATAATGCATAGTAATATATGCTAAATAATCCTTTATTATTAGCTGAAAAGGATAAAATAATTTTTCAATTAATGTTTTCGGATAGTGCGTTTTGTTCAATTACTTTATTATTAGCGTTATTTAAAAGCTTATTGTTTTCTCTTTTAGTACTGAAAATATGGTTTAAATCAAATTTGTGGAACACTTTGAAAAATTGAAGAAACCAGAACCAGTACACCCGCGCGTAACGCATCGCACATCCGACCGAACGAATTCTATGCGGGCCACTATTAACGTTACGCGCGGGTGTACTGGTTCTGGTTTCTTCAATTTTTCAAAGTGTTCCACAAATTTGATTTAAACCATATTTGCAGTACTAAAAGAGAAAACAATAAGCTTTTAAATAACGCTAATAATAAAGTAATTGAACAAAACGCACTATCCGAAAACATTAATTGAAAAATTATTTTATCCTTTTCAGCTAATAATAAAGGATTATTTAGCATATATTACTATACATTATGTGGTTTAAGCCAATATGAGTAGAATCACGTAATTTTTTTTTCGATATCTTTTATGGTTACGCCAAAAATTGAGTTTGAAAAAGGGGCCACTTTGGCATATTTTCAATGATATCTCGGTCATAAGGTGAGATACAAAGTTGAAGTTTGGTATAACGAATGTTTTCAAAATGACCTTTAAAATGGCGTATAAATTATTCAAATACAAGGGTATTAGTCAATTATGTATGGCAATGCGCCCACACCCTTGCGCGTCGTGACTATTATGTACTCGTCTGGCAGACCCTTGCAACCGTCAGAATGGGCTGGCTTTTTACATATGCTTTCTGAACAGTTAAAAGAAGACACCCTCAAAATTTGAGCCTTGTGCGAGCAAGTTATAAAATTTTTTTTTTTACATTTTCACAAATTGAAGGGATGATGACGCAACCGCGGAATGACTGCCAGAATGGTATTTTCTTAATGGGCCGATAATAAATTATCATTAAAAAAATTTCTGGCTTTGTGAAAACAGGTTAGTCAAATAGTTCACTGGCTCTTCTACTATCAACAGTTAAGAATGATGATCATGTGGTTGTTCACTACTGGAAGACGCATTTGGGACATCAAAAACTTGCTAAATATATTCGGATGGATAAAAAATTACAGAGACAAATCAAAGGGATTTTTGTTATCATTGGTAATATACCTGAAGCATAGTATAATAATAAATTACCACTGAAAGCTTTAGTCTCCAGTAAAGATTTATGGAAAATAAGAAAAAAAATTTAAAACCATACCGTACTTACAAACAGCCAACTGATTATATCAGAGTAAACCTTTGGATGTGAATTTTCAGTATTGTTTCATAAAAATGTCAACACTGTTGATTATGAGCTTAGAAAGGTAGATTATATGTTAATAACAATGACTAAGAAGCAGGCGGAAATGAAGGAATTTGGCACAGGCAGAATTTGCTTTGAATGGAACAAATTGTTACAATTACCAGTTGCATACATTAATAAGAACTGATGAGTTTGGAAGCGGAGTTCCAGTTGCATTTTTGTTTGCAAACAGACAAAATGAAGTAACGTGTAAAATATTTTTTGAAGAAATCTCTGAGGCAGAATAATTTTTTAAGTTAATGGATGATGTGATGGGTGATAAACCTTCAATTACACCTGTATCTGTTTGCTCTTCTACTGGAAAAAGAACTATATCCGAAAATAGTTACGGGAGTAGCAGTAGCAGTAATATGGATAATGAAGCAAACCGTCAGGATATTTAATTTGTTTTGAAGATTTCTCTACGCCAATAAGAATATTTTTTTTTTGCAGGAAAAAAAGCAAAAAGTGATTTAATTGCTGCATTTGAAGAGAGGTCAAGGATAAGCGAACAAAATAAGGAGCGTCGCTTCAGAGAATTCATGGCATTTAAAGAACAAAAAGCTAAAGAGTCAAATCAATATAAACAACAAGCTTTAGAGTTATTAGAAAAGCTTGTTAAAGCTAATTCTAATTCTAATAATTCTAATTAACGTGATTATGCT